GCTAACTCTTAATTTCTAATTATCAAAACATTTGTAATGAAAAAAAGAAAAAATACAACTCCTCTACGATTAAAATTAAAATCTACTTGAGATATTTCTTGATTCTAACAACCAGTAATTTTAGATTCTTTGTTTTTTTTATAAAAAAGCATTCGTAAAATTATTAACAGTTCTTTCCCGTGTCCGCGCTTCGTCGTCACATCGTTCCCATTGAAACAGTTTATGTTAAACTGTTATCAGCTTGACGATAATGGCTTCATTCGTGGAAATCAGTTTATAACAAATTATCGAAACCCTGTGAGAATTCTTCTCGTCTGTATTTGAAAGGGGTCATGCGACACGACTAAATTGATTTAGCCGAATGAAAAACATTGGAACAGGAACCGTCCATTAGGTTTATGTCACACACAGGAGCAGAATTTGGTGTGTATTTTTTATGTTTTTAGGCGCGCTAGTTGTTAATGTGACGCAGTGTTATTTTTCAATGTTGCTTTATCTATGAGGTGAAGTTATAATCACAAATTCATGTTTGCTTATTGATATTTACAAAACAAATGTATCTTTTTCACACGAAAACCAATTTTTTCTACATCGCGTACAAAATTCAACATACTACATCAAGATCAGTGTTTTTTCTTTGAAATTAAAATTTGAATAGCCTAAAATTTCATATTTGTGATCTTAAGTTATTGATCTTAAAGATAGAACAATAACGAACACATGTAATATTTGACATTTGATCAGCTGAGTATGTTTATGTATTGAAAAACGATCTCTCGGGCAGTAATGTCATTAGTCATCAGATACCATGTCGTTATGTAACGATATAAACATACAACTAAAACCGGAAATAAACCCAAAGAACATTAAGAACGACAATTTGAAAATTCGTTCGCTAGAGATCACTTCAAAGTAATCAAAGGCAGTAATTAAGGAAATTATATTTCTCTTTCGAAATTGACATCTTCGAATTGCAATACGGTTCCATATTCCGACGTCAATTTCATCATATACACCAGATTGCCGTTAAGGTGACGTTGACATTAGACGTGCCTAACTGTCGGAGGATAATTCCCTGCTAAGTTATAAAAGCCTCTTTATAGGGCGAGCGGTAGACAGCCGTGACGTCACACGGACAGAATTACTGGATTTTTGGCTTTTGATAACTGCCGTCAGCGATATAAACTATTTATATACAAATGTCGTTGAAGCAGTGCGTTAGCTGAGGGATGGTGTATTTCTCTATACATGTCGACAGTGCAACCCAGCTAGAATTATTGTGGCGATTTGAAGGATCGATCTTAAAGCGAACATATGTACATCACAATTAATACCATTACCCGAATATACGAAGATAAAATATACGTTTCTTAACTTATTCAGTGATGTTGATGCAAGCATCGGTTTATGAAAGATTTATATAAGACTGTTTTATGCTTGTTGCAACCCATCTGCAGTACTAAACACGGAAATTGGACTTGAAGCGCGAAGGTTATGAAATTTGCACTCGGAGTAAAAAGTAGATTTCATATATATGTTGACGTCATTAGCCCGGGGCATACTCAAAAATGGTTCATGTATATGCTTAACTGTCATATGCGTAATACAGCTTCACGGTGTCCGACATTGAATTCTTAAAACTCGGTTCATGAACTAGTCTAACAACCCACCATCAACTACGACTTGTTCCTATCCAAAATGATTGGTTGGTTTGTTTGTCGTTTAACGCCGCACTCCCCAATACTACAACTATATGACGGTGGTCTGTAAATAATCGAGACTGGACCAGACAATCCAGTGATTAATACCATGAGCACCGATCCACGCTATTGGGATCGATGACATGCATCAACCAAGTCAGCGAGCCTGACCACCCGTTGGTCGCCTTTTTACGACAAGCACAGTCGCCTTTTACGGCAAGCATTGGTTGCTGAAGACCTATTCTACCTGGGAGCTTCACAGGTCTGTCCAAAATAACCCCGCCGACAAGTCGCATACACCGACGCAGTGGTTGGTTGTGTGTGTGAAACAGGAAGCGAGATCTTGGGTGTGTAAGGAGGAGTAGAACGTGTGCGGGGTGAAAATATCTGTTTTGGTGAATTGGTATACATATCGTTAACATATCGTTTTAAGTTTAAATCAGTAAACGCGCTATCGTGTCACTGAATTGTCTGGCCCAAACTCGCTATCACTGGATTGTCTGGCCCAAACTCGCTATCACTGGATTGTCTGGCCCAGACTCGATTGTTTGTTTGTCAAGAGTAATGCTGTACAGATTTTGAAACAAAGAAATCTTACTTTTTTGTGCTAATTGTGAGTGGCGGATGTCACCAGCAGAGCAAGTAAGGCTTACCCTTTTCGCGAACAAAGCGTCATCACTGATTTTCAGTTATCCATTATTATAAATTTCAACCCAATTTTGCCTTTTACGCCCAATGGAATCTGCTTCGCTGGATAATCGAGCGCGGTTATTCTCTGACGTTTTATATATATATATAACTCCACTGGGTTCAAGATTTCAGGTTTTCCGTTGCTTCAGACAATATCTGTATTATATCATTGCGAACGAGTATCTGAAACTCAGTATGAAACCTGGTATTTAGTTACAGCATACGAAATACCAAAATCGATTGTGGTTTCAGTATTTCAATATGAGCTGTCAGTTTGAAAGCAAACACACGTTTGAAAATTAATACAAGATATATATTTTTGATTTCATATGGAGATATATAGTAAGCGTTGCGTCCTTATGTAATATGATCATGTTCGTTGGAACAATCCAACACTGTAAGGCTCACACCAATAACCATAATAATATTCCTGTAATCATCATCATGACTTCGACATCGCTGGCAGTGGATCATGTATAAGGACCACTTGACCACCCCTCACTTGACCACCCCTCAGGCCCGTGAAGACGCCGGGGTAGAATAGGTCTTCAGCAACCCATACTTGCCGTTAAAGGTGACTATGCTTGTCGTAAAAGGCAACTAACGGGATCGGGTGGTCAGGCTCGCTGACTTGGTTGATGCATGTCATCGATCCCAATTGCGTGGATCGATGCTCATGATATTAATCACTGGATTGTCTGGTCAAGACTCGATTTTTTACAGACCGCCGTCAAATAGCTGGAATATTGCTGAGTGCGGCGTTAAACAAAAAAACATAACAAAAAACACCCCTCAACAGGTGCCACCCTTGGCCCACGAACAACACTCACTCCCCCAGGTAATATCAACACATTATAACGACATAGTCTCACATTCGCAATGCGTATCAACTTTTAACAAGACAACAGATCCTCTTCTCAGCGTCTGTTGAAATCAAGGCTCTCTTTCTTAGCACCCTACTTCAGATTTTCAACAAACTGTAATCAACGACAGGGCACTTAAAACATTAATGATTTAGAACTTTATTTTTTACCCGTTAGTGTGTCGTTGATTATTGTCTCAGGGAGTGCGTTTCTATTGAAAAAAAACAATCAACTTTTCAGCGTGTTGGGACAGAAAATCATAAATATTTAACAAATACATTTCGTGTGTCCATTATATTGCAGGTGTTTTGAGCACATAGCATTATCTTCGCCAAATATGACGATACAAACAAAACGCAAAACTAGAAAGTCACTCGAGTATAACGTTCAGTTTTTAACACTCTTCCGACTGCTTAGAATGTGGTCCCGCCCGCTGAATTATTCAGCCATCCATTGTCGCTAGATTGTAAAGCAATTTACTTTTTTTCAAATCGTTGGAAATGTTTTTTGTCAGAGATATAGTTAATAGCTATCATCAATTGTGCAGCGGGCTGCAGGAAAAGCTTGTCAGTTGCAGGTGGATTGTCAACAGGATAGTATTAATAAATAACGCACAGTCTTTAAAGTTTATCCTAACAATTGAGTTCGCTGATAATGTTAAAAGCCTGAAGCACAGTAATTACTTTATTACTCGCATTTTCTATTGTTAGTTTCCTAGGATTCAAAAGCTTAGTGCTGCATCTCGATAACAGCAATACAAAAAAATAAATTTGCACCATTTGCGGGATTATAATATATGTAGAATGTTTGACATTTTTTTCTAACATCTAAATTACTAGACAACGCATATAATAATAATAATAATAATAATAATAATAATAATAATAATAATTTTTAATAATTTCGTAGTCTAATTAAACTGCTTTTGTACCCTAAATAAATGCAGGAATGTTAAAACACGTTATGGACCTCTTGTAGAACGAAAATGAACAATAATCAAAACCGTTTATCTACAAGGATATCACATTCAGGTTGACGAAAGATGCATATTTTTTTTAACTTTTACCAGAGTACTAAAGCCGTTCGGTGTGTCATAGTTCAAACAAGCCCGTGACGTTGTGTATGCACTTTCCATAGAAAGTTTCCCGTGCACGGTTTTCGCGTGCACAGATGGTTGGAATTCAGAGCGCGAGTCCCCGTCAGTGAAATTCTAATTTGGCTATCCTCAGTTGCAGGACCCTGTTTGCTGTGCGTGCCAATATCAGTTGGACGGGGATTGCAAGAGGGAGGGTACGTGAGGAGATTGTATTTTAAGAAACAGTTTCTTGCTGTACAGATGTCGATGGGGGTTTGGCTAAAACTCAGGGGAAAACTGCGAATACTGTAAAATCATTTTAATGCCCCAAACGTGATTTTCAAGATTCAGTCGGGAAAAGTCTTGATCTGGTCGATGGTGTCTTGTCTGTGCAAGATTTTAGATGTATTCATTGTTATCGTGTGTGTAAGATGTCGACTAATTATAGCTATAGATGTCTCTCATAGCTATAAGTATCTCTCTCTTATAGCTATAAGCATTGCTCTCTCTCTCTCTCTCTCTCCACTTCATCGGTCAACTACATATAAAAAAAGTACATGAGCGTACTAAACCTGAATACACTATGAAATAACATAACTGAAAATCTCTCTCTCTCTCTCTCTCTCTCTCTCTCTCTCTCTCTCTCTGTATGAATGATTTGTATGTACTTACTTGAAAAAATCGTCTTTGCAGTACACTTTATCTCCTTTTGAAAAACATTTATCGGATAGTTGTGCCTGGCAATCTGCACATTTTAGACACTTTGAGTGCCACGACCGGTCGAGCACTTTTAGTATAAACCTGTCCAGAATCTGCTCTCCACAGCCAGCACACTTGGGAATTGCAGCTGAAAGAGGAAATGGACACGTGAAATAGACATCTCTATCTGTGAAATATACAGCATTATACATGATAGTGGCATTAATGTACGTGCAACAGTATACACGAAACGCTCCCCCATTAAGTCATAGATAGGCTTCACTTGCATGAAATTCACATCCCTGTTTGAAGAACATTCACTCTCATGTAGATGAAATATACAACGGCGTATATGAAATACACAACCATCCGTGAACATACAACTTAAGTTGTACATCACTATATTTGAAACATACATCAGGACTGAGGTATACCGACAACAGATTACAGTACGTTCAATATACGATGATTTATATCATCACGAAACTGACTTATTTATGCGGAGTCAATCGATGTGTATGTAAAATGCATAAATATTTATGACATATACTGCAATAGACATATCCATTAAAGTGTCTGGTACCCTTTTCAAGTTTGGTATTCAACATCAGCGCTTCGTAATGAACCATTAACACACGTGATCAGATCTAATATACGAAATATCACGTGGTGTGAAACCAATCTGGGTCTTGACACTGGGTGTGTGTGTGTGTTGGGGGGGGGGGGGCAATATGACGACAGAACATCACAATATGACGACAGAACATCACAGTGATGTAACCCCGTGAAGATCTGTGTTAGAGATGGTCTTCAGCAACCAATGCTTGTCGTAAGAGGCGACTATGCTTGTGGTAAGGTCAGGCTCGCTGACTTGGTTAATGCATGTCATCGTGTCCAAATTGTGTGGATCGATGCTTATGATGTCAATCACTGGATTGTCTGGTCCAGTCTCGATTACTTACAGACCGCTGTTATATAGCTTGAATATTGCTCAATGCGTTAAATAACAAACAAACAAACGTATATCCCACTAGACCTGTGTAGATCCGAGTTAGAATATTCTTCAGCAACCCATGCTTGCATTAAAAGGCGACAATACTCGTCGTAAGAGGCGACTAACAGGATCGGGCGGTCAGCCTCGCTGACTTGGTTGATGCATGTCATTGTATCCCAATAGCTAGGATAGATGCTCATGATGTCAATTACTAGATTGTCTGGTCCAGACTTAATTATTTACAGACCGCCGTCATATGGGTGGAATATTGATGAGTGTGGCGTTAAACAACAAAGTTCAGTTTCTAAATGCCTTTTAAGGCGTGTCAATTCGGTATACAGAGTTACGTCCTGGGAGGCTTAAATATATCATCGTGGGTTCGAATCCCAACTTCGCTTTGATTATGCGTCTAGGTTTGACAGCACCATACCCATACTTATGGGTTTCACCAAAGTGGGAAACTTGTAAGACCTCCTATACATGAAGCTGACACGCAGTGATCTAACTGAAATATTTACAAAGAGGCGTTAAACTGAGCCAACGCCCTCCCATATCAAAATCTATTTGGATAAATAAAATTGTTTCACGTGTGTCAGCCAGAAGTTGGGTTGAAGCGAAACAACGTTCACAGATGCTGCAAGAAAACAAAATTCCTCCTCAATCTCTGTCAAAAGCACTCGATCCAGACCGACAGATATGGTTTTCTTTATGCGTATGCAGTCCTAATAAACGCTTCACTGACCATAACCTCGAAAACAATAGCACCTCAAAACATTTTAGTACCCTTCATCCGCCGAGAAATCACTTCTGAAGGCCAAAATCAAATAAAGCGAGTCAACTTCTGCTCGTAGCTTCTTGGGCGGTGCGCGAAACAACCCAAGCGGCAAAATGGCGGACAGGCATGGTAGCAGACGACAGTAGAGCGATCGGCTGCCGTTCGGCATTAAATGAATTAAACTGGAGATTTGGAGACTAATTTAATTAGGCTTTGGGGTGAGATGGTGCCGAGAGACTGGCACAACATCCCTGCATCAAAATAAATTTAATTAGCGCCTCAGCCAAATGCGGTGAAGCCAATTAAGGTAATACGCTGTCTCGAACGCGTGCGGTGTTCTCGTGCTAAACGTGCGCGGGATAGTTCGGCAGACGTGCCCGTGAAACCAGCGCAAGAGCCAGTTTTCAAGCTACGTGCCTTAGCATGGATTTCAGCCCCACGTTTGGGCTGTAACTGTCAATACTTGAGAGAGCTGTGGGTTTTCGGAGAGACCCAGGAGTGCCACAAGCGGCCAAACTCAAGCCAGTCGTCTCCCCGACGTCTCTGAGCCAAGAAACCAAACAAGAGAGGCATTCTCGAATTTCATTCCCTGGATCCGGGTTTTACAGGACGATCCTATCCCGGATCAGACGCGGACCAGTCCAGCTGTATCTCCAAGGAACAGACTGTGCAATGGTCTGGGCTGTATTCTAAGCAGCGATGAAGTAGCCTTCACATCCCAGGGTATATTCAACATCTATGTAATTAGGGAATTGCCGTCACTCTTGTTATGAGGGATAGACTGCTTTGGTCGAAATCTCATAAATTAATATTGGCATTTTTAGTCTGGCTATTTCAAGCCCAGATTTCCTATGTACCCATGTAAGGACATCCAAAACTTGGACTAGAAATCAGGGCGTGATTTAACGGAAAGTGGAATAATGAGTATAGATTTCTTTGGCGCAGTTTTAATATCTGATTTCCCTGAATCCCGATACACCTCAATGCTATTTGCAAACCAATAACTTTGATAGAAAAGGCCGCCTTGTATTGATATTATATATAAGATAAGATAGTTTGGGCTGACGTGTATGTACTGCGCTAGGTTTTTGTTTGGTAAGCTCGAATACTTAATGTGAGTCGACAATTAATTTATTATCAAATTCTTTACAAAACAACGAAAACTCATATCCTGTCTAACGCCAGCCTCACATATGTAGCTTATAGGATACAAAAGAATTACCTCCCTTTGTAATTCAATCGGTCTCGAAAATGGCGCTGTTTCAAGTGATCAGATAACTTCATTGTTTGAAAATCGGCGGTCGGATACCTCATAACATTCTTCTTTAAACTATAAAATATATCTCAACGATTCTTAACAACGTGTAAACGAATTAACTGTTATACCCTTATCCCATTTTCAGAATAAAAGACTTAAACAACCCTATAATGACACAAAAGCAGTTTAATGGTAATAAAAAATCTGTGTGATGATCTTTGAAATTCTTTGCCAACATTGCGACATGTTTGAAACAATGCACCAAACGCCGAAATACAAGTGCGGACTGTCTCGAATCCTTGAACTTATTGTCCATATATAGGGGCGGTCGGGTAGCCGAGTGGTTAAAGCGTTCGCTCGTCACGCCGAAGACCCGGGTTCGATTCCCGACATGGGTACAATGTGTGAAGCCCATTTCTGGTGTCCCCCGCCGTGATATTGCTGGAATATTGCTAAAAGCGGCGTAAAACCATACTCACTCACTCACTATTGTCCATATATCAGTAATGTCGATCAAAGTCTCGAATTCCAACCATTAAACGGTGTGCGAACGTGTGCGAAGAACACGCACGATAACTAACCGAAATTAGTATTTTATTAACCTATTTATGTACACACTCAAGTAAATAAAAACATTAATAACCGTTTTTCATCGGTAATTCATCGGCTTAAAAGTGACCATGCCGATAAGCTTTCGAATGATTAGGTTACAGTAGGCAATAAATTCCTATAAAATAACTCTTGACTTGCTCTTCTTGATAAAACTGACGTAAAACAAATATCATTATTATTCTGGAGGTGATAATCGTCTTCCGCTTCGATCAACAATTAGCTGTCTTCATTGTACAATATCTGAACCGTTTTAGAAAAAAATGTGTAATGGGAAATATCATTGCAGAAAAGGATTATTAATGTCTTTAACGATAACAGAGTGTGTGATGTCTCGAAATATGAGACGTAACTCGAAGTCCAAACACGAAGTTGCCCTATCCAGTGGTAAGAAATATAGCATGTTTATAGTTCATGTTTATAGTTCATGTTTATAGTTCATGTTTGTTTATCTGTTGATCTGTGCAGATACATGCGGTCATACTGTTTGCGTTCAAATATTTTCAAATATGGTTTTATAATTATGACGATGTTTGTTATTCAATCTGTACTTCATTGCTGTTCAGTATTTTGTAGACTGTTTTACGAAGCAAAGCTCGGATACAATGAGTTTTGAACAATTGGGGTTGAAGCATGATCTGTTTAGGTTATATAGCCAAATTCAACAGAACCTAAGACGTCAGTTTGAAGGGGATGGCAATATTAAAACCAAAATTTCAGCCATCTTGCTAACCCGACATATGGTGAGAAATTGTTTGTCAGGTTGGGGAGGGGGGGATAATTATCATCAGCTATACTTCTTTGTAAAAAAAACATTCTCGTTTGCTCTGTGATTATCATAGAAGGATTCGAGTGGAGTTGAAACTGATACCCTACTTTGTTAACACAGAGCGCCCGGGGCACCGAAAGGGGTTCGGCGTTGGTGTAACACGATCTGTAACTGAGTCCCCGGAGTCTCTGCGAACTGTTACACTGAACTAGTATTGTAACGGGACAAGTTTAGCAGTTGAGGGGCCCGGATCAAGCGGGGGGTCCTTCAGGGATCAGGAAAACCGTTACATTAAACAGAAAATGTCGGGGTCGGATATGGGCGTGGTGAAACTGTCGAATTGTCTTCACACTGACTAGTAAAATGGGACTGATTTGGGGCTCGTCTTTATCCCTCTCGTTGCGGTGTTAAGGGCACAGATTGCTGCATCGTTTCTTTGTTCAAGGCGAACCTTGGTTTGATAAAACTGCATTCAGATTTGAATCGACAGTGTTAATGTTATGGATTCCAAATGCTTAAAGTAACAGAGCATTATTTATTAAATGTAAATTCCCGTTGTTTTTTCTTCATTTGTTTCCAAAAGAAATAGTTTTAAAAGACGTAAGTGAGGAAAATGTTTGCCTCATCATTTATAGTGATAGCGTAGTCACTGTTATAGCATGAACGTAGACACTGTTATAGCATGAACGTAGACAATGTTATAGCATGAACGTAGACACTGTTATAGCATTAACGTAGACACT